GCTCTGCCTCCTGAGTGCTGTGATTAAAGGCATGCACCACCACCGCCTGGCCCTATTTCTTTTTTGAAGCTTCATAACTGCTTGTATCTCTCTCTTCTCTGTTCTCTTTTCTCTCTCGCTCTCTCTTTCAGTTTTCCAAGACAGGGTTTCTCTTTATAGCCCTGGCTGTCCTGGAACTCACCTTGTAGACCATGCTAGCCTCGAACTCAGAGATCGGCTTGCCTCTGCCTCTTGTGCACTGACATTAAAGGTGTGTACCACCACTGCCCGCTCTGTTCCCCCTTAACAGTTCCCTTTCTCCCCCTCATCTTTCTTGCTGTCTAGCTGGCTTCACACTTACAGCTTCCAGGCTGTCCTGTCCTTAGCTTCCTGAGAAGCAGGGACTGTGGGCACATTATTATTCTATGAATTTGCCCATTTGGGGACTTTTGTATGAATAGAACCAGTATTTGGATTTTGGCTTAGCAGAGTGTCTAAAGTTCCCCTGTGTTTTCACATGTGCAGTGCTCTCTCCCTCGCTGTGCTCTGGATGTGTTTGACCCAGCCAAAACTCATGCTGAAACGTAATTGCTTTTAGTATTGGGAGGTGTGGGGCCTTTAAGAGGTGATTAGGTTGCTAAGAAGAGTTAATGCTATTTTTAGGAGTATTCTGCTGGTCTGGATTAATTACCATGAGAGTGACTTTTAAGAATTTTGTTATTTTTTATTTATGTGTGTGTGTGTGTGTTTGTATGTTTGTGTAGCATGTACATGCCTGGTGTTCATGGGAGCTGGAAGATGGCATCAGATCCCCTAGAAGTGGAGTTACAGATGGTCATTAGGTGCCATTTGGGTCCTGGGAACCAAACCCAGGTCCTCCAGAAGATCAGCCAAAGGGTTGAGCTCTCCCTCACTCCCTTCACTCAAGAGTGACTTTTGTTTTGTTTTCTGAGACAGGGTTTCTCTGTGTAGTTTTGGTGCCTGTCCTGGATCTCGCTCTGTAACACAGGCTGGCTTCAAACTCAGAGATCTGTCTGGCTCTGCCTCCCAAGTGCTGGGATTAAAGGTATGTGCCAATGCCGTCAGGCTCAAAAGTGACTTTCAAAGCATGAAGGTCCTGTGCTTTGTCTCTTTGGCATATACTGCTTCCCTTCTGCCTCTGGCTGTGAGCTGAAGCAAAGTGAGCAGACACTGCTGACATACTGCTGGACTTTCCAGCCTCCAGACCATGAACCACAATAAGTTCTTTACAAATTACGCCCCGGGTGTTCTGGTTTCCCTAGTTTTGCTTCTCTCAGCATCAGTTACCTGTGTTAGGTGTGCTCTTCAGCTGTTAGCTAGGCAGTCAGGTTAACAAGTCTTGAGATTTAAATTGTGTGCCATTTGGAGTAGCATGGTGAAACCTCAAACCGTCGTTTCCTGTCCTGCCTGGGACATGAGTCATCTCCTTGTCCAGCCTATCTGTGCTCCATATGCTCCCCTCCAGTCATGGAGCTGCCTTGTTATCAGCCCCCCTGTGTGGTATTACAGGCTGGCACTCACATTACCCATATTTACTTAAGAATGTCTCACTTTGCAAGAGGATATGCTGAAGAGTAGCTATAAGGGGCCTAAGAAAAGAAAAAGGAGTGTGCAAGTTGAAGGAGACTGCTCTTTGAAGTTGTGAAGGAGTAAGAAGAGGCCCATGCTAGTTGTGCTCCTGATGAGCGGGCTGTGGGTGGGTGACTAGAGCTCATTAATACTAGCCATGGGTCCTGGCATCCACCATGGGTCTTGGGGTATGCACCTACATGATAAGGGGCTCCTACTAGCATTTAATTTTTAAAACAATTTTCTTTTTAAAAAATACTTTTTATCTTTTGATTTTTTTGGGTTTTTTGTTTGTTTTTTTGATACTGGGCTTCTGTATGTGACAGTCCTTGCTGTCCTGGAACTCACTTTGTAGACCAGGCTGACCTCAGACTCATAGAGATCCACCTGCCTCTGCCTCCCAAGTCAAGTGCTGGGACTAAAGACGTGCACCACCACTGCCTGACTCTTTATTTAATCTTTGACAGTATCATGTGTATATATTCTGATCCTACCCTCCAACTCCTCATTACTTTTTATAATCAAGTACAAGCAGTCCTTGCTTAGATAATGTCTCCTCTCTGTTTGTCACTTAATGGGCATTTGGATTATTTCCCTGTTTGGCTATTTGGAATAATGCTGCTATGGACATTCTAATGTTCTAAGGTTATTAAAGCTACTTGGGCTTGTTGTTCTTGCAGAGGACTTGAGTTCAGTTCCCAGCCTCACAACCACCGGTAACTCCAGGGGATCTAACGCCTCTGGCTTCCACAGACACCTGTACTTATTTGCATATACCTTACCCTCCATACATAAAATTAAAAAAAAAAATTTTTAAATCTCTTGGAATTCACATAATTTTAGTTGATTAAAAAATTGCTCTGGACAGGCTTTTGGGAGGTAAAAGAAAATTTTATTAGGTTTTATATTGTATATTGAATTTTTTTTTTTAATTGAAATCTCCAGATTTCTTGAGACTCCATTCTGGGAGTAGGATTTGATACAGTGCTACCCATCCTTACTGTTACAACAAAGCCATGTAGGCGCTGGAGATGTATAGTTCTCCCAGGAACTTCAGATTTAAGAACTAGTAACTTTAGTAATGTTTCACTTTTAAATGAATGTTTTGGCCTCTCTAGGTCATTTGCGTTTCTATGTGAATTTTAGGATCAGTTTGTCATTTTCTACAAAAATTGACCTCAAGTGTGTTCTGGTTGTTTGATTCATTCATTCATTCATTGCTTGTTTTTGTGTTTGTCACCTTGACACGAGCTAGAGTAACCTCAGAAGAGGGCCATAATTGATAAAAGGCCTCCATCAGGTTGGCCTGTACACTAGCCTGTGGATCACTTTCTTAGTGATTGATTGTGGGAGGACCCAGTCCACTGTGGGTGGTGCCACCCCTGGTAGGTGGTCGTGGGGTGTGTAACAAAGCAAGCCAGGAGGAGCAAGCCAGTAAGCAGCACTCCTTTACGGTCTTGCTTTTTGTTCCCACCGCCAGGTTCCTGCCTCAAGTTCCTGCCCTGGCTTTCTGGATAATAGACTACAAGCTGTAAGATGAAATAAACTCTTTCTTTCCCAGGTTGTTTTTGGTCATGATGTTTTATCACAGCAATAGAAACCATAATAAATGAATGTAATAGGGATTGATTAGTGTGGAGAGTATTGCCTCTTTAACAGCAGACCTGCATGTTGCTTTTGATATGCATGGCCCAGCATGTTCATGGGTTTGTCTGTTTTCAGTTTTATGAACCTAATGCCTAGTGTCTCAGTTTCAGATCAAGTTCCAGCTTGGAGCCTTGCTCTGCTTTGTGAAGGTTGGGGCTAGAGGATGAGGAAAATGGCTGTTAAGTGAACATGACCGTTTCTCTGAAGAGGAGGGGAGGCTGTTAACAGTCAGGTGTGGTGGCACACTTGTGTGTTCCCTGCACCTGGGAGGTGGAGGCCAGAGAAGCTCCAATTTGAGGCCATACAGTGAAGTGTCTGAAAAAAAGGGGTGGAGGGAGAAGCTATGCAACTCTTGAAATGACCCTTGATGTCTGCTTTGAAGCAGGAGAGAGGACAGAGGGCAGGCACTGCTAGGTGCTTTGTGTAAAGAGCAACAACTGGAGGTGCAGGAGAGTGGAAATGAACAGACAGGCTTTAGATCAGGTTGCTAGAGTTTTAGGATGGTTAGGTTTGTTTAACAGCCTGGGGGTGGGGCTGGAGTTTTGGCTCAGAGGTTAGGAAGTTAAAAGCACTAACTGATCTTGCAGAGGACTAGGATGTAGTTCTTAGTCCCCACATGGCAGCTCAAAATTCAGTTGTCTGGAACTCCAGTTCCAGGGGCTCCAGTTCCTTCTTCTAGCCTCCCTAGGCACCAAGCACAGTGAAGGACAAGGTCATTTTATGTCAAGGACACTGTTTCTGCTAGCATAGTGTTCCATTAACTTTAGGTTTTACCTTCCTCCCCTAACACAGCAGAGAGCTGCTGCACTAAAAGTATACAGTACTGCGCCCACCAACAGTACTGCCTTTTTACATTTGAATTTGTGTGTGTGTGTGTGTGTGTGTGTGTGTGTGTGTGTGTGTGTGTGTGTGTGTAGGGGGGTTGGCTGTTTCATTACTCTTTAATCTTTGGGGGCCTGCCACCCAGCTCCCAAATAAACACACACGGAGACCTTTTCTTCCTTGTAAATGTCCATTCAGCCTTAGTGTGGCTTGTTTCTAGTTATATTTTCTAACTTAAATTATCCTGTTTCTCTTCTTTGATGTTTTGCCTCTGGCCTTTTTACCTTTCTCTATTTCTGTATACCTTTCATTACTTTTTACTCGGTGGCTTGCTGTGTAGCTGGGTGGCTGGTCCCTTCTTTTCTTTTCTTTTTTTTTTTTTGTCCCTTTTTTTTCTTGCTCTTTGATCTCTCTTGCTCCCCTCTCTCTGCATGCCAGCCCCACCTATCCTTTCTCCTGCCTGCTTATTGGCTGTTCAGCTCTTTATTAGACCATCAGGTGTTTTAGACAGGCACAGTAACACAGCTTCAGAGTTAAACAAATGCAACATGAAAGAATGCAATACATCTTTGCATCGTTAACAAATGTTCCACAGCAGAAACAAATGTAACACATCTTAATAATACTCTACAATGTGTGTGCGCACGCCCCCGCGCTTGTGTGTATACACATCACAGGGCACATGTGGAGACCAGAGGACAACTTGGTGCTGGTTCTTACCTTCTACTATGTAAGTCCAGCAGATCAAACTCAGAGTAGGTTTGGTGACAAGTGTCTTTACCCACTGAGCCATCTCACTGGCCCTCACTACCTTTTAAATTTTTATTTATTTATGATTATTGTGTGTTTATGATGTGTAAGTGTGCATAAGTGTTTGCTATGGCTCAAATGTGGAGGTCAGAAGACAACTTATGAGTCAGTCAGTTGTCACCTTGCACGTGAGTTCTGGATATTGAATTCAGGCTTACATGACAAATGATTTTACTCACTGAGCCACTTCCCTGGCCCTGATTCACTCTATTTCTTTTATGTAAAATCAAGGAACAACAGTGTAATAAGCATTTGTAAGAATGTGGAAACTGAACAGAACTGCTAGGAGAATTGGACATAATTCTGGACTTTCTGCACTGTTTCTGTAACAGACAGACAGCAGTATTACTTTAGTTAGCTATCTGGTCTCTCCATGGCTTTGAGCTGGGAAGAGATTAGTCAATACTAAGGAAATACAAACATCTTCTAGCCAGTTGAGGCTTTCTCCCCCTCCTGCTCCTGTTGGGGTCACTGGGTTGTAGTCAGTGCCATGCCCCATATCCCCCAAAGTCATCTTGTAAGCCGGAAGTGATGTGTGTCCTGTGTTTTGTGAAGTTCTGCCCTGTTGGATTATGTCACTTGTGTTCAGTCAC